TGAGTTGTACAAGGACCCCTCTCAACTGCTGCAAAGTGCTCGGTCAACGGACATTGTGGTAATCGCTGGACAATTCAATGCTCAAGTGGGACAAATCAGAAAAGTCACTTGGTGGTCCACATGCAACCGGGCTGACAACGGAGAACGCCCACTTCAACTCCTGCGCTGACCACGGACTGTTTTTGTCAAGGACAAACTTCTCTCACAAGAAAAGACACCACCTTACATGGAGACCGCCAACTGCTTCTCAGCGCTGAACTCAAATCGACCAGATCGCCATAAGCCACCGCTGGAGAGGATCCATTGAAGACTGCCGATCCTTCTGGTTAACACCCGTGGACATGGACCATGCTTTGCTACGGGCAAGATTCCCTCTGCGCCTGATAAACGACGGCAGAAAAACCACCGAAAACGGATGCCCACAATACAGTATCAGTGACGGTTGCAAATCGGCTTTGGAAGCGGAATTATCAGATCTTCTCTCAGCTTAACCATCAGCCGGAGGACTCAGTGAACACTGGACGACAATCAAGGAAGCGATCCAAACGTCTATCAAATGCGAACTATGAAAACGGCAAACTTCGGCGCACGATCAAGTAAAAAGCGATGGATCTCCCCGACCTCGGTTGTCATGCGGGACGCTCGCAAAGCCATTCCTTCCGATGCAAAATAGGACAAGGCGCGCGAATCCCTTAAAAGTCAGCTCATCAAAAGTGTCCGCCAGAAGTGGTGGATAGGGAAGTGTAGAGCGATAGAGAAGACTGCGACCACCGGTAATAGTCACAGTCTTTTTCGTTTAATTAGGAGTACAGGACAAAGGAAAGTGGGCGTAAGTGAGGTAATTCAGGAGTGTGACGGCACACTGATTCAAATTCAGGAACGCCGTCTTGAACGTTAGGCAGAACATTGTAAAGCACAGTTCAGCTGGTCCCCTTCAACTCGAGGCCTCCCCCTGCCGGCTTTAAGTGCGCAAATACTGTCAGTTGACATAAGCCCTCCATTTGTAATGGAGGTTATCGGGAAAATAAATTATCTCAAACGGTATGAGGCTTCGGGCCCAAACGGTCTATCCCCATCGAATTTTAAGAATGGAGGTCTAGCCTTGATTTTGGAGTTAACAAAACTTCTGAGCTCAGTGTGGGAGAGGGGAGGTTCCAGCAGAATTTTGTGAGTCAGTGATCATACCGATTTACAAGAAAGATGACAGATCGTCTTGTGAAAACCATAGAGGAATTAGTTTACTCAACATCGCCTCTAAAATTCTTGCCGGTATCATGCTCTGTCGATTGTCTGCTGCACGTGAACGGTGTACGCGTGAGAACCAGGCTGGTTTCAGACCTGGTCGCGGTTGTATCGACCACATCTTCACTCTTCGTCAAGTTCTGGAACACAGACACTCTTTTCGTAGACCTACTATTTCTATCTTCTTGAATCTGAAAGCGGCTTTTGACTCAGTCGGCCGCTCTAAATTCTGGTGCTGCCTTTCCCTGAAGGGTGTGCCTGAGCAGTTTATTTCGATTCTACTATCTCTCCATACTAATAGCTGAAGTCCAGTTCGAGCTTACGACACTTTTTCACCCGAGTTCACTCCAGAAAATGGTGTTGGATAGGGTAACTCGCTCTCTCTCTCCATTTCTATTTAACTTCATGATAGATTTAATTCCTGAAACAGCCGTATCTTAGCGTGAGGATAGGAGTATTCGTTTACTCCATGCGCGCGATGTTTACCAAGGCAGATAGCAGTTGGAAAAAGGCTAAGGGTGGTCTATCGAAAACCTGGCATGAGTACATGAAAACCCTAACCAGGAGACTGGGTCACATAAGTCCATTTAGCCCCCTTGACTGGAAACCCCGAGAATCTGGTCACCGATTTTTAGATACACTGAGTGATATGACTGGGTGTCGCAAACAGTGACGCTCACGCATCTACTCGTTATTCGTGTAACATTAGTCCATGTAAATTCGCTACCTATCGCTTCAACTGGCTGTCAACAATCTAATGTTCATTCCGCTCGTTTGCTCAAATGGGCAACCATAAGACAGCAACCAAGACCGGCGCACGAAGGTGCCTGGTTAGTGGTTTCTAGGACTGAAGTGAACTGCCAGAAAGAATAAGTGCAGGCTTAGGCTCCTGTTAGTCATGGACAAGTACTTCGCACTTTGATATATATATATTTCACACTTCCGAAACCAAATTGCCAAATTAATCACTGCACAATAATTTTAATAAAAAGAAAAAAGCTCAATGACTTCAACTGGATTCAACTTTTTGGATTGTGGTATAATGTAGCACGTTGGTTTGACCAATAATAATGCAGAAACGCGTACATGTGAACAATGGTTACGCAATGTAGAAACAAAAAGTCAACTCCGCGGCAAATAAAATGATTGCACGAAAAACTTGTAGACCTTTAAATGGAATAGGCGACACTTCATTGATTGCCAACAGCTTTTCATTGTGGTTACGTGATACGTTTGACTGGCAGAATAAAATGAACTGTGCTTATGTGCCAACAACCTTACTATGGACGGCGGCGGATGTCTTATCATAAAACAAGATCACATTAGTTTGTTTTTCACAAAGTCGTTCTCCAGAGGTATACTTGATCTCATATTTGTGAGTACCCATGATTTGAATCTGGGGTATTTTAGGCTTTTGAATTTCATCGGAACAAGATGATAGACATGAGGAAAAGTGGTCAGACATGTGCGAGCCATCGATTTTTTGACACCAGTTGAATCGCTAGAATACCATTGGGAAAATTTAGTTTAACTTTTCGTTCATGGGACTCGATGAATTGTGTCTACCTTTTGTTTTTCTGACCTTTTTCTATCTAAACAATTCCGTTTATTTTACACTAGGTCTATTGCGAGAATCAGCCGTGCCTACCAATCGGACTTTCTGATATACCAGGAGAGGCGATGGTCAAAATCTATTGCCCACGTTGTCAGGATGTGTACACACCCAAGTCCACCCGCCATCATTATACAGACGGTGCCTACTTCGGGACTGGTTTTCCGAACATGCTTTTCTTGGTTCATCCGGAATATCGTCCAAAACGTGCTCCAAAGCAGTTCACAGCTCGGTATGTCATGTGCAGCTTGAAGAGACCACTCGGCAGACACTCTTATCAAAGATACTTATTTTAAGTGTGATCTATTTACGGAACCGAACGATGACGATAGCATGCACAATAAAATCGTTTCGGGAATTCTGAGCATAGTTATGAAGTTTATATGAAATCGAACTTCTTCGCATTCGATTTGCACTACAGAACCGAGGGATCAAAGGCCTTGGACTGATGGTTCACCGCGTTTCTGCGGTCGTGATCACATTCCTTATTACTGGCACAAATACAGCTGTTGACCAAACTCGTGCAACATCACCCTAATTTTGAAAACCCATTTCAGCTTGCAATAGCATACTTATATATAGATGGTTATGGGTACAGTGTATTTATTCCTGACTTTGTCTCCAACATCTAAGTTCTTAGTTCATTTCTATCACCATTTGAATGTGCGCGACCTTGAGGGTCGCTATAAAATTTGCAGTAGTTCGAAAGTTACTGCTCTGATTTAGAAAATATTTTGGGCAAAGTAGCATGGGTGTTCATTCTTTTTAATAGATGATTCGTGTCCTACGAGAGTTTCTATTAGGTTGAGCACACGCATTCTAAATTTCTATTTTCTTTTCATTCAGTGCACAGTAAATAAGCAAATTATTGAAAATATTCTAACTTTAATAAATTGCTAAATTATTAGGCTACAAACTACTCACGCATCATCTACAATACTGGTAGAACTGAAAACATAGTCCAAGAAAGACACAAGTTGATCTTCGAAAGTTGACCTTGAGATGTGCGGCTCGTTGAATAAGCGTCCTGTGGTGTCACCACGCCCAAACCGGATAAAACTTCCAAAAGATTTTGGCATATAATTAAAGCCGAGAAGCGGCTAAAACGAGAGGCGCATG